GGCTTCCCCTAACTTGATTCCATTTTTACATCTCCTGCCCTCTGGGATGACCAAGAACAGATCCTGTCCCTCCTCTGTAGGACCATCTTGCAAGGCTTTGAAAAAATGCTGTCATAACTCTGCTCAGGCTTCTTTTCTTAAGAAGAACGATATTCGCGTCCACCCTTTCCTTCACTGCACCGTCTCCGAGCGTATTTGAGCAATGCTTTTTCCTGTTTTCCAGGAGGGGAGGTGTACAAGGGGCATTTTAATGGGGAGATGGGACCACTTCTCTAATTTCTCTCTCTTACATCCCCATGTTCTTTTGTGTTGGTTCTTTCAAAGGAATAAGGAGGAAAAGGTCTGATTCCTGGACTGGACACCCGTCGTGGAGAGGCCTGTCCAGCTGGCACCGTGCTATCATGACCTCTTCATGTCATATCTGTGCCAGATATGTCAGGAGCGGCTTCTTTTATCTGGTGCATTGTCCTCCGACGGTCAAGATGACCCAGCTTCTTCCTCCTCTGGCATTTTCCTGGTATTTCTTTCACATCGCTAATCTTCCATAGCGCCAATTCCAAATGGGCTGAATCATACCTGAAGGAATGATGATGATCTTCAAAATCAGAGCAACACAAAGGACTTTGTACTTTATTGTGAGTGCATGGTTGGTGTTTTTCTCCAAGGTTGCTAATTCAGAATTTCATCTTTCTTGGGTCAGACTCTGGACAATCCAAGTTGCATGCTTAGAAAGAGTCTGTCTATGCCACACCGTTTTGCTGTCTAACTTATTCCTTAAGCTGAAGGTGTGCATTTGTTAATGATTTCCTTGGACTGACTCAGCCGGAGGAAGTTTTCCAAAAGGAAGCATTGCTTGGTTACAGGGAGAGCTAATTTCTCCCTTCATTATCTTGATTTTGAAATCATCCACCAGGTAGTTCTTCTCTAAATTCCTCATAGATGCATTAGTTCTCTCTCTCTATATATATATATGACTTGATTCATCCATTGTTTTTCAAGGAGCTGAAGAAGAGGCCAGCAAGGTTGAAGATTGTAAGCTGTCCTCCTGAAAGAATGCATTCACATTCGCTCTTCGATAGTGAGAAGCTGATAAAGCACGAGACACGCTCAGCTGCCCTGTGGAGTTCGTCCTTGTAGTTCAGAATTTCCTGAATTTACAGATGGATAAACTTTCCTCCTTTATCACTCAGTGCTATTTACTGTGGCTTCTTCTTTTTCCTTGTTATTGTTTTCGGCCGTTAGTCCTTCCAGCCAGCATCAGATATTTATTCTCTGCTATCTAGGTAGCCGGGAATGATTGACTCCTTCAATGCCCTAGTGCACAGACACAATCACCGCCTCTCACATCTATGATGACTGGGTGCTCTGAAACAGGATGAGATGCCAAGAACAAACCTTAGTTCACAATCTTGGTATATAAACAGCACAAACCAAGGTTCTCGAATCTGGAGGAGGACCTAAGCATTTTTAGTTTGTTCTGAGTGTTCTGCTTCTGTTCTGTGTTTTGTCCGAACACTAAACTAGTGGTTCCCAACCAAACATTCTTGGACTGCAATTCCCAGAAGCCTTCACCACCAGCTGTGCTGCCCGGGGTTTCTGGGAGTGGCCGTCCAAGAACACCTGGGTGACCCAAAGTTGGGAATAATCTTAGAATTGCTGGAAAGGACCTTATGGATCATTAAGTATAGGCACCGTGGGGGAATCGAACCCCTTATCCTCTGGATCTGCAGCCAGGTGCCTAAATCACTGTGCTTTCCAGCAGTTCTCTTAAACATTGCACTGAACGAATCATCTGCACTCTAACAAGAAGATCCACATGGAAGAGAACAGGCAGCGTTCATGGTAAATCAGAATTCCCCATAACGCAACCCTGGCTAACCATTCCACGGGAGTGCATTCCAGTAAAGAGACCCCCTCTAGAGCCAATTTGTTTATTTCACAAATTAAAAGGATCAGAAATGACTGTGAAACACAAGTGTACAGTATATTCTTATTTAATTACCAACTTAGCGATTGGGCTTCTCCATAACTTCCATTCTGCGAAAAACGGGTTTGCCGATCAGATGTCTAGAAGTGTTGGAACAGGAGTTGATGTCATGGAGTCCAAGACAGGAAGGGATATTAAGAAAGGCGGAGTCCTCTTTATTTATCTCTGTTTATCAGGGTAAACATAAGCCATTCACTGGGGTGTCCTTCCCACATGCTGCCAGAAGCTGGCTGATGGTGAGTGGCCTGATAGCCTCACCTACAATCAAATCTGGGGCAAACTGGGAAGCGGAGGAAATGAAACTGATGATCTGGTAAGCCCTTTCTTTGTGTGATTACTTTCAGGGCTGGAGCTACCTGTCCAGGTAGATAGATGCCCTTCTACGAGATAGGATCAAGCTCCACCCAAGCAGGAGAAGGAAAGGCAGATTTCCCCAACGGTGACGTCAACCAGCAACAGAAAAAGCTACTGCAGGCTCTCCGGTTCATCTAATCACTATGTTCCCAGACTGCATGCTGCAGTTATAATTACCGTACAGGCAAAAACGCCAGCCAATCCCATGGACGGTAGCTCCGTGCCATGTTTTTATACACATCCCCATCAGTGTTTAGGTATGACTGCAAGGTGCTATCAAACTTGGCGGGCTAAAGAAAAGGGATAGTTTACCATGAATGATGACTGTTAATTAGGAAGAAGGAGGAAGTTGGTGTGAACCATCATCTCCTGAACATTCGTAACAGGGGCTAAGAATTTAACAAATACCACTTTTCCTTTTTTTCCCCCCCACTCTCTCTGTTAGGTTCTGCAGCTACTAATAGCAGGAACTAGAACACGCCATTAATACTAGGAGTATTAACTGCTGCATGAAGTTTGATCAGTAATATCCAGTCCAATTGGCGGGACTGGATGATCCATAGGGTCCCTTCCAGATGTGTAGTCCTAAGATTAAAGCACTGCTGGATAGCTCAGAGATCGAGGTGTCCGGGTTGGGATTTTGATTCCTCACTGGGCCTCCTTGGGCAATGGCTGGACTTGATGATCTAGAGAATCCCTTCTAGCTCTCTCTAGAATTATTACGATTTATAATCTACCTGGTATCATCCTTTGTACAAGCATTGTTCCTGTAGTTGTAACGCAGGTGTGTGCTCGTGGCCGCTAGTGGCATGATTCCATTCCACCAGCGTCTGAAGCTTTTCCTGTAAACATTTGCTCTGCTTGCATCCACACTTACTCCTTAGCTCCTTGCAAAACCTTTGGCTGAGTGATTCATTCACGGTATTGAGTCACGACTTGCTTGCTTAATAAACTTGAAGCTCAGAGGCTTACTTCCAAGTAGACATGCCAAGCTTTTGTGTGCGTGGATCCTGTTTCAAAAAGCTATAGAGTTAAACAATTTTACTGGCTTGTAAAAAGAGCTTTTCCCACTTGCTTCTGAGTAGACTCAAGATAAGCAAGAATAAAGCTGGGTTCTTCTCCGTTTTGCCACTGTCACCAGATCAAGAAGGTTGCATCTCTTTTCTCAGATTGGAATTTGGCCTTGGGGCGGAAGAACCGTCCCTCCCCTCCTTTTTGCAGGCTGCAGAAACGCTGAATTCCCGGGCAAAAAGAAACACTTGATTGCTTTTTGTTTTTCCAAGCGGTGGAAGCTTTGGGTGAGCCCAAATAACTATAGGTATAAACGGATCACAGGCGAGTCCTTTAGAACCGAAGTTAGGAGCCCTTGGCAAAGTCTGGAAAAGTCCTTAGCCACCCATGTTTCTTTTTTTAATTTGCTCGCAACCCTTCGCCTGCACCCGGCCTTTGCTCCTTTATGGCTCAGTGACTTTCATTTCGATCTCTTTCTCAAGGGAATTTCCATACCTGTGACCCACTTGGTTGCTACACCAGCATTTTCAGTTGCAGAAGCCCTTTGCTCTCATAGCCACAAAGTTTTAAGTTCAATTGACAACTAGAATCACAATATCAACCTTATCGGATGCAAGAGACATAATCTTAGAACTGCAGAGCTGGAAGGGACCCCGTGGGATCATCAAGTCCAGCCCCTGTCAAGGAGCCACAGTGGGGGAATCGAACTCTTAACCTCTGGCTCCACAGCCAGAAACCTAAACCACTAAGCCATCCAGCATATCTTACACCATATAGCCACCTAGAGTGGTCGCATTGACCAGATAGGAGGGATACAAATAAAATAAATAAATAGATACTGTAGATAATTTTTTTTCAGATTGAAAAAAACCCTATTCTTTTTTTCAAACTGAAAAAAACTTATTTTTCAGATTGAAAAAATATTTTTAGATTTAAAAAAACTATTTTTTTCCAAATTGAATTAGTTTTTCAAATGGAAAAAATAGAAATAGAAATCTGTTCTAGCGGTCAGAAATGATTGGCGTTCCACTTTAGAAGCTAGCTCTGGTCACCCCACGGTTTCAGCGGCTTCATTTTTAGGCGAGAAATTTCTCCAGGATTCATCACAGGACCCTACCGCTAAGAATGAATCCAGCGTGACCGACAGAGCAGTCGCAAAGCAGATGAACCAAGAGGGAGAGATAATCTTAACACACAGATGGCATCGGAAAATTAGAATACTTTGGATGCGCAAATGAAATGGGCATAGATTGTTACAGCTGATCGTGCAATAAATGGGAAAAGGGAGGAGAAGCATTTCCTGTTTAGGGAACCGGAGAGACTGGTTTGGAGGCAACACAGCATTGGTTCAGGACCAGTGCATCCAAAGTCATAATAGCCATCATCATCTCCAACCTCTAGCAGAGGCGGAGCAAAAAGGAGTCGGCAACTGGGCGCCCCGCAGCCTTAGCCGGCCCGTCTCCCTTTCCAAAGAGGCAAAGCGCTTTTGTGGTCCGCGCGGGCGGCTAGAACTGCGGCTCCCTTGAGCCCTCTCCAAATCCTCCTCCTCCTCCTCTCCTCCTCTACCTCCCGCCTTCTTCCCAGCGGTGCCGCTCGCCATTGGCCCGTGCGGGGTGTGATTGGCAGGCTCCGGAGGGGTGCGGCTTGCCTGAGTCATCCGCTGGCTTCGCGGATCGTTTGCAGGGAAGCAAAAACACCGGAGCGCGCCCGGGAAAGGAGGCGAGCCAGCCGGACAGGACGGGACGCGCCCCCCCATCCCATCCCACCCCCGGCATGGAGCGATCCAAAGCTTTCCGCCAGCTCAGGCTGGGGCTTTTGCTCGCCCTCTGCTCCCTCCTGGCTGGGGGCCACGGTAAGGAGGCGACCGGTTTTCGATCTGTCATTTGCACTGATTGATTGACTGATTGATTGATTGTCACGGGAAGGACCCGCGAAGTGGGTGCGCGGAGCTTTGTGGCTCGCGCGGCGCTTCTGGATCCGGAGAAAAGGTGCGCGCGGGGGGGTGCTTAACATCTCTTGGGCGCCCAGGGATCGCGCTCCACACACACACACACACACACACCGTTCCCACGACGCTCCAGGCGTTGCACCAGGATCTCCAGCCCACGCAGGCACCGATGCCGGGCGATCTCGCAAGGGACAGGATCCAAACAGGCGCAGAAGAAAACGTTCTCAGTGATCGGTATTGCTATCCGTGTGGGCGCAAGCAGGGTTGCTGGCCGTTCGAATCAATCGGTGATTCGTTAAAAAGTTGCACTGTTCTTGGTCTCCTTTGATGATGTTTGCACTAGGAACGCCCTGTTTTTTTAAAGCATTGTTTCCCTCGGTTGCTTCAATGCCGAAACAATGTATAAATGTGTGTATGCAACCAATCTATTTCTGGGTTGACGTGTGGGATGGGAGCAGTGGGTGAGGATCAAGGCTTGAAGGAGAGAAAACTGGAGTGAAAGCTTGGTGAGGAGGGGCCTGAAGTTGGCCCCCTGGTTCCTCTGCTGGTGAGGAGGGAAGACCTGCAGGCGCCACCACCTAACAGCCCTGCAGTGTTGTTCACCAAATGGTTCCACTCAGTATCAGGGGTTGTGATGGTCAGGACCCTTCTGGCCCACCCGCAGATCAAGCTCTTAAATACATGGAGAAATGGGGATGATCGTTTGCAAGCAAGCCTCCTTTCCGCTTACATCCACCGAGGCGGTGCCATGTTTGAGCCATCATCCTCATTTTTTATTCGTAATCATCGTCATCTTAGCACTGCCAAGCTGGGAAGGGCCCTATGGATCATCCGGTCCAACCCATGTCAAGGAGGGACCATGGGGGGGGGTGGAATCGAACTCCCAACCGGCAGCAAGAGACCGAAACCCCTGCTGTAAAGATGGAAGCCCATTGTTTGCAGAACAAATAACCTATTTTCCTTCTGTTGTAGCCTGATGGATGCATCTTCTGCAACTGTTGTGATGGTGTTTTTTTTTTTTAAGTGTCGTCCTCATTCCAGGGCTTGAGTTAAGTATGTGTGTTTGATTTAGGGCCATGGGCATTAATAAAGCTGTCTGGAATTTGTCAATCAGGAAAATAAAAATTAAACAATTGTTTTTTTTTTTAGCAAAGACCAAAACCAAGCACGTTAGGTTCACATAGGATGGGTACTAACACTCTCAAGCTCCTAGTCCTGTTGAGGTTCAGGCAGATATCAAACTCAGCATGGTGTGAGAGGCCTTGCTTTAGAGGACACCACCAATTGGAGGCTTTTTAAAGCAACCGTGTTTTCTTCTTAGGCAGTATTATTTTTCCTGGAAAGGAGGACCCCATGGGTTGCAAATATAGGCAGAGGTGGATCTGGATCTGCATGTTGTTGTTATTATTATCGTTTTATTTTATTTCCTTTTATATTCTGCTTTCCTTCCATTAAAGGAACACAAGGAGATATGCAGACATTTTAAAAATAGATATACAAAATTGCAACCCTGTTTCCCCGTTCTGATGTATGGATCAACATGTTGGATTTCATCTGGAAAAGGCTGGCTTTTGTGTTGGTCCCTTTAGCTGCGTTGGTTGATCTGGGAAGAAGCCTCGTTTCTCAGGCTAATCGACCTGACGGCCTTGTCAGGACAGAGGTGGGAGGTAGACGGAGACAAAGCCAACACACGAGGCTGTCAACGCTTCCCAGCAGAGAACAAAACTGTAAATAGATTAAACGTTATGGTTAGGGGATGGAACGTGGCCCCAGCAAACTAGCAACATGCTTCCAATGCCTTTCTCTATGGTCAGAGCCAAGCATGGTGGCAGTGATGATGATGATGGCTTTTGCCAAGGGCTGGCTCGAGGTATTTTGCTACCTGAGTTACCTTCTTCCTGATGGACAGTTGCTTCCGTGGTCATGACCGGATCTCAGAACAAGCTGGTGTGGGATCTCAGAAATAGGCCAGCTTTTCTGCGAGGCAGGATTTCCCATCAGTCTGGGCATCGGGCAGCTTGTAGGAAAGACCTGATTGTGTGAAAAGGCCAGGATCTCCGAGTTTAATGGTGGGAAGGTCTTCCGGATTTGGAAATTTGTCACCTGTTTGAGAGATTTTAGTGGTCTGTTAAAAGGCCTGTCCCACCTTTTGCTTTTGGATTTCACACAAGCGCTGACCGTCTCTTTTTTCTTTTTTTTCGGTTGATGAGCGAAAGGACACCCAAGCGTGGTGTCGTGGATAGGGTGAGGGGCCAGGACTCATGAGGCCTGAGTTCGAATTCCTCCTTGAGCCATAGAAACTCACCAGGGGGAGTGAAACGGGTAAAGCCACTCCCTTATTAGCCTTATTAGAGTGGCTGAAAGTTTGTTCTGACTTGATGAGGTGTTCACCTAGACATTTAGGACAGGGGAGCTGGCTTGTCCGGGAGAAAGGAGCAGGCTAATTCAGAGGAAGGCCAGTTACTGCAGAACCCAGCGCTCTCCGTCTTCTAGCAGAGCTCCTTCTCCCCCCCCCCACCGGTGCCATTAGACCCCCATCAGCCTAATGGTAGGGCCGGCCTCTTTCTTCTAAGGCAACAGCTGAAGGAGAGAGCAGGCTGTACTTTGACTTCACATGGCCGGTGATGGGGGCGGCGAGGGTTTGGATTTCGCCTGCAGAGGCTGTGACAGGTTCAGACCTGAAGCCAACGCGCTAAGCATCATCATGCCTGCTGCCTCAGAAGAGCGTTCTGCACCACTTCCGTGCAACTGGACGCATTTGTGGGGGGAAGGCCAAGCTAGACGATGCTAAGCATCATCATCCCGCCTGCTGCCTCGGAAGAGCGTTCTGTACCAGTTCCGCGCAACTGGATGCATTTGTGGGGGGAAGGCCAAGCTAGACGCAGCAAAGGTGAAGAGAGAGGGAGAGATTGGGGGACGGAGTCGGATCCCACTGCGAACAAAACCCCTCCTGTTCTCTGGCCAGTGCAAAAAAGCACTTTAGCAAATTGGATTTTTTAAAAAAAGGAAAAGAAGAAAAGCAAAAGGCAATTGTTTCTTATTGAGGTTTGGCCCCTGGCAGCACGGCTTCGGTGCCATGTCACTATCCTGTCGTGCGTGGTACCAAAGGTCTGTCTGCCACCTATTTCTCATGCGAGAACCAACGCTTGGGTCTCGATTAGCAAAATATAACAATTGGTCTTAAAGGTACTGAAAACAACAAAACTGTACATTAACAAAAAGGCATGCATGAGGCCCAGAGACTTGTTAAAACATTAAAAAAAATTCATGTTTTCCCCATCTACTTCCTGGTTTTGCCAAACACAGCCAGCGTTCTCTGATTTAGGGTGTCATACACTTGTTTACCGTGAACCGATGGTTGCCATTTTGGGGACCGATCCAGTGAGGGGTGTGGATCGTTTGTTTCCACCATCAGGCCATCCTTCTCTCATCCCCCAGACAATAGTTTCTAATCCGCAAGAGGAGAGAGGGCTTGTTCCCTTTGTTTGCAGATCATTTATCTGGCCGAGCAGGGAATGGGCTGATGTTTAAACAGCAAATACCGAAGGGCACAGGAGCAGGCAGAAGGGGAAGGCTGAGAAGAAAGGGGCTCACAGGGCCAGTTACGGGGTGGGACCCTTGATTCCAGATGGCTAGGCATATTCGCTTAGAACAGGATGGGGGCTGAGCACCCTTTATAGGGCTGCTGGCCTCTTCTCTCCCTGCAGTACTTTGCCCCACCGTGGATCTAGACCATTCAAGTGAATGCTTGTCTTGAGACATTCTAAAGGTGGACAGATTTACTGTAGCATCAGAAGCAAAGCGTGCTGCTTATATACCGCCCCCATAATGCCAAAAGCTCCCTCTGAGTGGTTTACAGTTTCATTATACAGGCTGCACATTCTCCCCCCTCCCATCCACCATGCTGGGTATTCAGTTTACTAACCTTGAAAGGATGGAAGGCTGAGTCAACCTGGAGCCGGCGACCTGACTCCCCTGTTGGGATTGAACTCAGATCACGAGCGGAGTCTTCACTGCAGTACTGCAGTTGAACCCCTATGCCACAAGGCTCCTCTTTACCATGTTTCAAGGCTGTAACTATTGCATAGCAATTGGTGTTTTGCTCTAGGGCACTGAAATTTCAAAGTAAGACTGGTAGTGAAGGGTTAGGAAATTCAGCGGCCACACCTCCAGGCTTTGTTTACCTTTTTGTGTGTGTGTGTGTGTGTGAGCACAAACTCTTTCTTTATTTTGGTGGTGGCAAGAAGACATGCTTTTCTTCGTGGATGGGCCAGGGTGCCACTTACCCCAGGTGTCGAAATAGCTGTTTATAGCTCTGCTGTGTTTATTCTGGCTCCCCGCGGCCGGCGGCTGTCCATCATCTCCCATCAGAGAAAGGCCTTAGTCATCTGCTGCTGGCTGATCCTTCGATTCTGGGGCTGGCGGGGTTGAAATCGGGACCCTAGGTGCATAGAAAGCATCCCAACATCAGTCGAAATAGAAGGGAGCGGTGTGGTCAATGCAAAATATAAATGCAAGAACAGGAGGTACCTTTAGAGACCACGAAAAAAAAATATCACCATACAATTTGTGAGTGTCAGACGATCTGACTCTTCGGCACACAGCTGAGATCCGTGCGCTGTCCTGACAGGCAGCTACTCTCTGGGAACCGAGGGACGGAAATTTTCCAGCTCTTCCTACAAAACTTTCTGTGCAATTCACCTAGGAATTTTAAAGCTCCCTTCAGGCGATGCAGCCGCCCGAAGCAGTGCCTTGCGCTTTATCTCTGAGCTCTCATCCCCTTGTACATAGTGTGTGCATTATTTGAAACTGGCACTCTCCAGATACCCCAGACGGCCACTCCCATCATCCCCAGGGAGCATGCCATTCTTGGCTGAGGATGATAGGAGCGGCAGTCCAACAAACCTTGACTCATTGAATGTATGTATTGGACATTAATGGGGGATGTGGGTGTGTGTGTAATCCTGTGGTTCAAAATCAAATGCAAGAGGTCGAGACTGACATGTCGAGGTCAATCTTAGAAGGATGGCAATAAGGCAAGTGTCCTTCACACCAATGAGTTGTAAGTTGCCCTGCACTCACTAAGGTCCTGGAGCAAAGTTTGTCGTTCAGTTTTGAGGATGTGAGATGCTTCCCATCTGAATCTCCTTCTTCTGTGCCTTTTCATCCCAGAGCTAAGACTAACTTTTTAAAAAAAGCCCTACAACTCTTGGTCCAAAAAAATAAATTAAAAAGTCACTGCCTGGGCTCTACTTTGGTCTAGGGCTTCTTTTCAAAGGTTGCAGGCAGGCTTCGCCACCCCAGGAGACTTAGAACACAGCATTCCCTTCTCTGCTGATTAGTTTCTTTGCTCCAAGTGAAAACAGAAAACCTTGATCTCCATTGAGTCCCAAATGAACAGAAGTAGACAAAGGAGGAAATGTGGCAGCCGCCACCACCACTGGAACGAAGAAGGCAGTTCGCTTGTATACATTGTACAGGCTTACAAAATGGGTACTTGGGAAGTGCTGCATGATGTGGGCATTTGTGTCATTTTAAAACAGTGGATCCCCCCTCCCTTGGAGGGCCAGGGGGTCAGCCTCTGGCGGCCTCCGGGCTGCATTTTGCCCGCTTCTGCCCTAACGTCCTTCGGCTCTGCTTCATGCTCCTGATCCTGCCTGAATATGTGAGCGAGAGAGAAGGAGATTTCCTTGGCCCTGCGGGACATGCCTTCCTGCCTGGCTGTATCTTGTGGCAGTACGTTGATGCCAGATGAGGTCATCGAGAACCAGCTCACCCCGATGCCAGCCCTCATGCGGCTGTGATCTGCCGCCCCAGCGGTGTTGCGCTGTTTCTCCCTCCCTCTCCCCAGCTTGGCTGTGGGAGCTGCAGAAACACCTCCAAACGGGCTCCTTGGCCAAATCCGCTGCGGAGGGGCAGGGCGTGAGATTAACTCTGGAAACCTTTGGCTATAAAAAGCCTTCTAGCCAGACGCACTTGGAGGCACAGACGTCAGCCCGGGAGGGCTGTGTCTCCTCGCTCAGCGCTGTGCAGCACCCCTTGAGGCCTGTTACAAAAAGTTTAGGGAGCACCCGGGAATCATTTTAAATATTCTCTCCCAGCTACTCTGCCAGGAGCGATAGGGCAGGATTTAAAGCAGAGGACGTGGATTTCCAAGCAGTCTTGTTGTTAAACGGTGGAATTCATTGCCACGGGATGTGCTGACAAGGGCTGGCTTAGCCGGCTTTCAAAGGGGATTAGACTAATTCGTGGCAGATAAAAGCTATCAACAGCGTCTTGATGCTTATCTGTTGCAGGTGAAGAATCAGAGGCAGCAGAAACTGCCGGATAGCTCAGTGGTTTAGGTCTCTGGCTGAGGGGCCAGAGGTTGGGAGTTCGAATCCTGCCACTGGAACTCCTTGACAAGGGCTGGAGTCGATCATCCCTAAGGTTCCTTCCAGCTTTCTGCCGTTCTAAGGTGATGATGATGTCTGTTCATTCCATTCTCTGGGGAACAGCAGTGGAGATGGGCTATAGCCAGTGGCCTGAACTGAGGTGGTATTCTCAACGAGAGCAGACCCATTGAATCGTAGAGATTTACATAAAAATGGACTTCCTTCTTTGGTTGTTTCAAGGAAGGGTTTGGCTCTAAGGTGGGACCACCATTAGGATTTAGACTCTCCTGTTTCTCAGAGGGAAGAGCTCTAGGATCAGATCCCCGTTGATCTGATTTGATGGGGCTCCTTTCTCATGCTCTCTGTCCGTTTGTCTCTGATCTACCTCATAAGATTGTTGTTTGGTGCGAGGGTCAAACGTGGAGGAGCAGAGAGCTGTGTTGAGTTTACTGCAGGAAGGGTGATCGGTGGTTACGATGAGTAAATAGTGACTGAAGTGGCTGGATTTCACCAGGAAACATAAAACCAAACAAAAGTAAACATAATAATAATAAAAAGACATTGTGGTGCTTTAAAGACTTAACGGCTGCATTTTAATGCAAGCTTTTGTGGAACATTGTCCGCTTCTTCAGACCATACAAGTTAGAGCACAGAGACTGCGTGGTGAAACATTCACTGAGAGACAATGGTGTGTGGTTGTGTTCACACCTAGGAGCGATTTATGACTTCTTCCTGGCCTTCAGTTCTTTGGAAGCTTGGTTCTGTAAACAGCAACTTGATTATAGGAAGCAGCAAAGGAACAACATGTGATACTGTGTAGAGAATGTCAGACTTTACTTTTGAGCCTTGTTCTGCAAAGACAGATCTGGTAGTCGTGATGGAAAATAACATCTATTGTCACATTTGGTAATGACTTCAGAAACTAGATCTGGTAGTCGTGATGGAAAATAACAGTGGATAACAATTGTCACATTTGGTAATGACTTCAGAAACCTTGGCTGATATTTAATCTGTTGATATGGGTGTCCAGCATGTGTATATATTTTATCTCCACTGTTTCCCCTCCAGATCTGTAATTTTTCTGCAGGACAGGAGTTGTATCCCAACAGATGTTGAAAGCTGTAGGTAGTGACATTGGGTGGAAAGAGGTAGTTCTGCTGAGATTTCCCTTCCTCTCTTTCCCCTCCTGCAGCTCCCAGGCGAGCTTTCTGCAGGCTGTCTGGTATCAGACACCTTATACCGTTAGAAGCACTATACTAGGCTTGATAAGAATCAGCCTATCCCCCCTTTCTTCTTGTGACTAAGAGAGAGGTGGGATGTGTGTGTGTTGATGGTTCACCTTTGCTTGGCTGTCATTGTATCCCTTAACTTGGGCGCTTGGTTTTCCAGGAGATTCATGTGAAGTGAACCAGTGTCTGAATGGAGGGACTTGCCTCACTGGCATTGACGAGTCCCCTTTCTTCTGCATCTGTGCTGACGGCTTTACTGGTGCCAACTGCAATGAGACTGAAAAGGGTATGTCTTCAGTGCTGTTTATTTTATTCCATTTCTCTCCTGCTGTTCTTCCCAAGAACTTGTAGCTGCATCTGTAGGTTTCACCCCTGCTTCCCCCATTTACCTTCATTACACCCCTGCGAGATAGGTCAGCTGGAGAGAAGGTGACTGTCACAAGGCTTTGTTTTTCTGTTCAAACAGCTGTAAGGATATGCAGGTGTTTGCAAATGATGTCCCTATTAAGGTCATCCTGTCCCTCTCACTGGCTGCTCCAAAATTCATGAGACAATCTGTCTGTTGAACTAAGAGCTTAGAGCAGGTGGGGCGCTTGAGGTCAACTGGAGGTGTGTCATGCCATTGGGTGCAAACTTTGCATCCAAATGGGGTACGGACCTCAAGCAACCCTATTTAGTCTGGCTTTTTCTGCTGAATTTCTGATATTGTGAAATGGCTTAACAAGTGAGTCATTTCAGGACATAAACAAATGGAACACTTTGGCGGAGGGTCAGGGGAAATGAAATTATTATTTTTTCATTGTGCTAGGCTGTCACTGAAGTGCTGCATCACTTAGGTTAAATTTTTTTTAACATTAATGTTTTCTTTGCCTTGTCTGAAGCCCCGATTGAGAATCTGCCTGCAGCCAAACCCAGACCAAACTAGAGGGAACCTACCCTTTTACACACACACGCACACACAAGGTAGAAACCCCTGATGGGGTCTCAGAAAGGTGTGGGTCCTTTGTTATGATTATGTTGTCTGATTGCCAGAAAAAGAGCAAGCCAACCCATCCCCATGTCTCACCAAACGGCAGCATAAATGCTTGTCTGATTGAGCCCTAAGATGCAGTCATGTTTGAGGAATGATGATGCACTGGGTGGATCAAATTCTTGTTTTTCCAAAAATTTAAAGCAGGAAAAGGGACAGTCTTCTTGTCCCGTTCAACGTCTGAGTTTTCCTTCTTCCGTATCTTCTTCTTGCAGGGCCCTGCCACCCGAATCCCTGTCGGAATGGGGGTCAGTGCGAGATCGTTCCCAACCGGGGTGACGTCTTTACTGAATACATCTGCAAATGCCCCTCGGGATACCAAGGCAAATTCTGCCAGAACAGTGAGTACAAGAGGCATTTGGAAAGCATGAGAAATACTTTTGCTGGTTCTGAATCCAAAGGAAGCTCTCAGAAGGCTTGCGAGCAGGGTTTCAACACAACAGCCTGTTCTGTTTGGCTTTCTAAAAAAATTTCTGATGCAATTTTCTGACCCACACCCCAGATCCTCTACTACAAAACATACCGTATTTTTCCATGTATAACACATCCCCATGTATCCCTCTGTTGTGAGCCGCCTAGAGTGGTCAACCGACTAGATAGGCGGGATATAAATAAAATAAATAAATAAATAAATAAAATATAAGATGCCCCCACTTTTCTAAATCAAAATTAAGAAGTCTAAGTGGGGCTTAGCAAGTGTAGGGGGAAAGGGATCAAAGCGCTGCAGATCGCTTTGATCTCTGCTTTCTCCTCCAGTTGTTTTTCTCTCCTCAGCTTACTTCCGTGTATAAGATGACCCTCAATTTTTAGTCTAAAGATTTTAGACAAAAGTATAGTCTTATACACAGAAAAATATGGTAACCATTAGATCTCAGAAAAGGACCTTTTGAGATAGCCCCCTAGAGTCTCCCGGTTAGGTGTTATGGAGGCTACATCTTATAAATGCAACTTTTCAAAGCTTGCAGTACATCACAAAAGCATCTCTTGGCAGCTTATACCTTCTTGTATCTTCTCTTTGGCCGAGAATCTGATATTTTCTGGCTTTGGATCCCCCTAGTAGACGTAACAACTGGTCTACGATCTCTCTGCCCTTGAAGAAGTCGCTCCTGATTCGGCCGGCTTCGGTGGCTGAATAGGCTCTTCCTTTCTTCTCCTGGTAGATATGAACGAATGTGCTTCCCAGCCTTGCAGGAACGGAGGGACCTGTTTGGATCTGAGCGGAGACTACGCTTGCAAGTGCGCCTCGCCGTATTTTGGGAAGACCTGCCATATGCGTACGTTTCTCGTGATGACGGTCGGTAAGGGAAGAGAGATCTGAGTTGAGCTCGTGAGGCTGGACCAAGACCGATGGAATCAGCTGGTTCAACAAGGGAAGTAAGACTGATAAAGCCCCTCATATTGTGAAAGCGGGCTTTATCCACAGTCTTAAAAGAATGTGACACCCTCTTCTGAGTTGTTGTTAGTGAGACTGTAACTCTTTGTGGTACCATGTCATTCAATCAAGAAACATGGTTCAGATTGAAAAGCAAAGAGAAAAAGAGACAGACAGACGGAGGTGACTAATAAGGTCCTTTATTGCTCCTGGGCCTGTTTTTCATGTTCACATGGATGGAGATTCCTTTTGACAGGGCTCGCTGGAATGATGTAGATTTGCATCCACTTAAAATGTGCATTTGAACCTTTATAAAAAACAGGCCCAAGAGCCAGAGAGGGCCTTATCAGTCATCTCTGTCTGTCTGTCTGTCTGTCTGTCTGTCTGTCTGTCTGTTGTCTGTCTGTCTGTCTCTGTCTGTCTGTCTGTCTGTCTGTCTGTCTGTCTGTCTGTCTGTCTGTCTGTCTGTCTGTCTGTCTGTCAGCATGAAAGATGGTCCTTGATTCAAGGAGAGAGTACACCACAAAGAGTAACAGTCTAACTAACAACAACCCAGTACTCTGTGGAACAATGTAAACAATGTAGATCTTAATTAAAACAGGCCCAGGAACGAAACGGTCTTGTCAGTCTCCCCTGTCTGTTTACCTGTTTAATGCGTTCTCCCCCTCTCTGCCTTTTGACATGAAAGATGTTTCTTGGTTGAAGACCGATATACCACAAAGAGTTACAGTCTCACCAACGGCAACCCACAAGAGGGTGTTGCGTTCTTTTAGACTGTGTATAACACAGTTTACAATGTAAATCCCCTTATTGCTCTTACTTCACTTGTTCCAGAGCTTGGAAACATTTCTTTTGGGAGTGGGAAGAAAAAGTCAGTTTAGCTTAGGTGGCATTGTCATCCACAAGAATTTGTGCTACGATAAATGTTCTGCTTCTTGATTTTAATTTTTTAATTTTTTGTCTAAATTTAAATGTAGCAGACGAGTTTGAAAGGGTGACATGTGAGTTTTTATTACACGGAGGCTAACAGACGAACACAACGAAGGCTGTGAAATTTGCAGAAGTGAAATAAGAGGGAGTGAAATTTCAAAGAATCCAGATAAGCACCCAGTCCCTTAAATGGCTGGATTCCTTTATCATCTTTTGTATGGAAATGCACGGCAAGGAAATGATGAGAGAAGTGTCCGTCCTGCATGGGGCATGGGGAAATCTGGAATTTCAAGATGCTCATTGGGTTATTCTCTTCTGCTTTTCTCTTTCTTCCATTTCTTCCCTGTTGCTTCTCTGTGTCTTTCCTCTTTGTGGGATTTCCCTCTCCTTTCTCATTCCCCTCACCCTCCAGGCTGTGGGAATATCTTGGGCATGGAAACTGGAGCCATCGCGAACAGCCAGCTCACGGCTTCCTCTGTGCATTATGGGTTCCTGGGCGTCCAGCGCTGGGGTCCCGAGCTCGCCCGCCTTAATAACAAGGGGATTGTGAACGCCTGGACTTCCAGCAACTATGACAGAAGCCCTTGGATACAGGTATTGGAGCATTAAAGAGGAGTGTGCCTGAAGCAGGCATTAGGAGTTGCAGTCCGCTCAGCAGAGAAGGCTTCTCAGCCATTGGGAAGTTGTGAAACGGGAAGGGTGTGTTTCCTCCGATTCTTGGCCCAGGATTGAAACCTCATGTCTGGAGCTATTTCTGGGACTTTCTGATCTCTCCCCTCTACCTCCAGAAGACCTGGGAAGCGATGCCCTTCATGAGAGGGCACTGCTGTCTCATGGGGACTTTTGGGGAAGCGAGAAACACAAAATGGCGGCCGCTAGCCTCAGGAAGGCGTCTGGAAGAGGTGGTTGCATTTCTTCTCCTCCAATTGCCTGAGTCGTCTTATCAGGAGGATAAAATTCACCATCTGCTCCTGAGAATTATTCTCCGAGGAGTTTTGGTGGAACCAAATTTAAACGTGCTTGGATTTTGTTTCTGTCGCAGGCAGGAACTTGGGGCTCAATTAAAACTCTTTGTGAAAAAGATGAATTTTAGGAGACAGGGTCAGGAGTGGGGGAACATGGGGAAACTTGACCCCTGTAGATGCATTGTGATGCAGTTCCTTTTCACCACTGGATGAAAACCACGTTCATGAAACCGTTGGTTTCATTAACATCACCATTGTGATGCCATGCTGTATGTCATGAAAATACCCTGAGTGATTTTGTGGGAATGCATGTGAGTTGTTCTTGAGTGTTTGGTGGCGGGTTGTGTTGTTTTTTTGGGTGATTCTGTTTCTCCAATCCATTTAGGGAACTTTGTCCCCTCCTGAGGCAATATTTTTCCCCACACCAGGCCAACCTACTGAGGAAAATGAGAATCTCGGGGGTCGCCACCCAAGGAGCGAGCCGGGCTGGCCGAGCCGAATACGTCCGGGCTTTTAAAGTGGCGTACAGCCTAGACGGACGTGAGTTTGTATTCTTGAAGGATGAGGAGTATGATCAGGATAAGGTGAGTGATGAAGCTGGTGAGACAACGGTGAAGGGAAGGACTGAAAAGTAGATTTGGAAAAAAATGTCCTTAAACTGGCCAGAATCCTGTTCTATCTTTCCACCAATGTCAAGGCGTTGGCATAACTTTTCGTGGTGAATGGTTGGAAGAAGCCAGTGTAGGCATTTCCTTTTGCGTACGTAGTCACATGACTGGTATGCGAAAGGGGCTGCCTACACTGATACGGGGTGATTTTCAGATTTTATTGGACTACACACCCCATAATTCTTCATTCCGAGGTTTCTGCCTGATAGATGGACAACAAAATGTGGCTTATCTGGGAGAAAGGCCTCAACTGGAAAAGCTTTGAGGCCGAGCTCCTCCTAAGCTTCCTGTTCCTGCCCTACTGGCGGCTGGGAGCTTCCTTTCTGAACAGGAAGCTAGGTCAAGCTAGGCCTAGCTCGGCCTCAGAGCTTCCTAGTTGAGGCCTATCTCCCAGGCGAGCCACATTTGGGTATCTGTGATTGAACTGTCTGAATGGAAAATTGTGGGATATGTAGTCTGGAAAATCTGACAATCCTTCCTCTAACATGACTTCTCAGCAAGCACCTAAAAAGTTATGTCAAACGCATTCCACTCGCGCGCATAACTGAACATGGCCTAGCCAACAGATCTGAAATACTTCTGAGCATTGAAAGCACTTCACATATGTTGTTTGATTATTTGTATGACAGCCTTCCTAGGTAGGAGGGTAAAACGATTCCCATTTTAAAGTCTATCAGCAATGCACATTTGAGGGCCAGCGTGCTATAGTGAGCATTAGACCGGCACTTTAGGACTCGTGGAAGCCTGGAATTTCAAGAAAAGGGGGCTGGAGTATCCTTAAAATGGTTTCCAAAATCTGGTGCCACTCCGTCTCTTCCCCGAGATCCATTTGCTCTGCTCACTTGGCCTGTGCTTATTATCTTGCAAATACCCGGCAGGCAGGCACGCAACCTTCAGATATTTGGGAGTCCAGAAGTTCTTTGAACTTTTCTCCTCCACGAGCCTTGACTAGCAAGATAATTAGAAACACATTACTCCCCTGCACATTCTTGTCATTTTTTACGCTCCTCTCCTTCCGCACCATCTTAAAATGTTTTTCTCCCGAACCACATGTGAGTTCAGTTAGCTACCGCACTGAAGGTGAAGCTTTTGGGGTCAGTCCACGACAAGGTGCTTGTACAAACCTTTTCCCAATCATAGATAGTCCGTTAAAAACATACCCTGCTTACTCGTAAAGCAAGTATAATTATGACTAGAGCTGGCAATGGGCTTTGCTAGCATGTTGCTCCAGCATATTGTTGGCTGAATTTACAGCCCTAGTAGTGCCATTGAAGGAGATGGACTTACTCACTGGTAGGTGTGTACAGAATTAAAGCCTTAATCTAAGAGCAGGGGAGGGATCTTGCTGCCAAAATTCTAACTTTCTGCACCTAGGAGACCTGAAAATCTGGAACACATCTTTTTCTCTTTGCTTCGTATAAGGCAAATACTTTTTAATCTCCTAAAATAGTCCAACGATCTGTAATTGTGGACGAAGGAAGGAATGGAGGTGTTGGAAGGAAAAAAGGTATTCGCCTTTAAAATGATATTAATTCAAATAAAATTTTATATCTTGACTAGCCACCTTCCTCCTGCAGGTTTTCCCCAGCAACGTGGATAACAGCGGCGTCGTGGCCAATATGTTCAACCCTCCGGTGGTTGCCCAGTATATCCGCATCTACCCCGTGGTCTGCCGGAGAGCCTGTACCTTGCGCTTTGAGCTGATTGGCTGTGAGATGAATGGTAAATGCTTCCCATTGGTCTAACTGGGTGGGTTGATTGCGGAATATTTTTTTTGGTGGCAGCCTGCTTTCCATGTCAGCATCTCTTTTTTTTTTTCCTTCTTGGAGGGGCAAGGAAGGCGAAGGAACAGCTGCAAAAGGGATGGAACACCCTGGAAATTTCAGCGGGGCTCCAACGGTTGCTTTTGCTAAAATCGGCTCTCCAAAACTTATTGGCATTTCCTGTGAAAATCAGGACCTTTATCCTGACAGTTTAGGCTAATCTCCAGTGCTTTTTTGCGGGCTGGTAGGGAATTCAAACTCAGTGCCTGGGGAGCCCAAATTCTGCACCGAGTAAATGAAATCCTGGGACCCCATTTGCATCTGCCGGTGTAAAGCCGTCATGCCTAGATCTCAGCATCAAGTTGCTCCAGGTTAAGATGCTGGGTGCGGGCATTTGCTGTGAAGTGTTGAATTGTGTAACGAAATGTACAAGGTCCAGGGCCTGTATTCTTAAATGATGGCAATGGGCTGCCCGATTTTCATCTATATAAATTTGGTACACGAAGCAGACTGACCTAGTTTTGTTTTCTGCCTAATTTTAATCAGGCTTTGCTAACCTACGTATATAAAAAAAATGAAACTAGAGCTTGTTTCCAAACCACTGGGAAGCTAAGAAAAGGCTGGAGGAGCAGAGCGACTATACCTTGGAATATTCCTCACTCTGTTTCCTGGATGGGCTGGACTTGATGATCCATAGAGTCCCTTCCAGCTCTGCAGTTCTTAAATTATTATTATTATTCAACTGCTGAATAGCTCAGGCATCTGGCCTACAGAGCCAGAGTTTGGGAGTTCGATTCCCCCCAACTGCTGAATAGCTCAGGTATCTGGCCTAAAGAGCCTGAGTTTGGGTGTTCGATTCCCCATGTTGTCCCTTTAACGGGTTGGACTTGATGATCTATAGGATCCCTTCCAGCTTTGCACTCTTAAGATTATATATTTGTAGCTGGTTGGTCACCCAGTGATGCATATTATGGGGGTGCTGGTGGACTCCTCCTTCTCCATGGGGCGAGTTCTATGTGTCCGCCATTGTTCAACACCCGACATTATTCACTTCAGGCCTCTGGAGTGTTATGTCGGGGAACAGCTGGCTGGGATGAAAAGCTTTCTTTAGCTTCCCAAATGGTGCTGGAGCCATCGCTGCTCTCTAGACTTGGGAAAGTTACTTTTTAAGACTTTGATTCCTAGAATCCCCCGTCGGCCACATCGGCTGGGCTGGAGTGGCGGCAGAAGGGAATTCTAAGAGTTGGAACTCAAAGTAACTTTTCAGATCTCTGGAGATTTGTCTTCGCTCTCTTCTTCTAATTCCACTGCCTTCTTTCTTTGCCTCAGTCCTCATAACGACACCCGCTGGTGGCACTTCACATTGCAAGGTGATTTATGGGTTTTTCCCGTTGCTTCATACTGCTACAGTCTTGGCTGCTCTATGATCAGCACCAACACCATCCTTGATGCTTTGCAGGGCGGTGTTACAGAAAGAGGCATATCCTTGACCCATGGAGCTTACTCACCAAAAGCTGATAGAGAAGGATGGAACTAGAGACAAGTAAATGAATTCACTAAAACACAGCTTGAGTAATTCAATAAAGGGAAAGCGTTTATGTCTCTCTTTTTTAAAAACAGTAATTCATACAAATGCAGGAACAGGTGATCTTTAGCTTTATTGGACCATTAAGAAAATAAACAAAGAAACAAGACACCAACAGCGAGCTTTTGATGATAATTCATCTTCTTCAGGCTGTGCACCAAATCCTTGTGGATAATTCATGCATCATACTTGTTATGTCCCATCAAGTCGTCTTTGATTTACGGCGACCCCATGAATTGAGGGATCTCCAAAATGGCCCAGCCTCAACAGCCCTGCTCAGCTCTTACAAACTCAATCGTGTGGCTGCATACTTACAGGGCAAAACAGGTTTTGGGCTACATCCCTTGTTCGTAGCATGCTACTGTCAAAAATGTCTTATTTTTAATGGCCCCGTATGACTCCTGATTGTGCCAGAAAGTAGAGAGAAGAAAGAGTGAATTGCATATAAGAGGGAACGAACATGAGATTCAAAATTCCGGCATTGTTAGACTTGATATTATTTGTATAATTATTTTATTTATAGCCTGCCTTTCTCCCCAAAACGCACTCTACTGCAATTTGATGCTACTGTAACTCCATCCTATGAAACCCTCGGGGTTTGTTCTGTGAAGTGCCTCCAGAGAATCACTTAGGATTCTTGGTGTAGTTAAAGCCTTGGAGTTCTCTACCCGAGAATTCTCAGAGCTTGGAAATAATGTGTTATCCTTAATGCATTAATGTTAGAACCATCCCTGTTGCATTAAACAGGAGGAAGGTGTAATCTTCAAAAACAGAAAAGAAGATTTGAAAGTAACTTTAAAATGCTGCTTTTGAAACATCATCCTTTAGATCCATCAGTTCGGTTTGTCTTATTCTTGGCAAAAATAATCATTCTGATATTAATATGTTCAGTAAGAACTGCTGGATATCTGAATGTGGTTTAGATATCTGGATGTGGAGGTTGGGAGTTTGATTTCCCACTGGGTCTCCTTGACAGGAGCTGGACTTGATGGAGTCCCTTCCAACTCCGCAGTTTGAAGAAGAAGATGACAATGATGGACAGCTCAGTGGTTTAGGTCTCTGACTGTGGAGCCAGAGGTTGGGAGTTCGATTCCCCCATGGTACCTCCCTGACAGGTTGGACTTGACAATCCCGTAGGGTCCCTTCCATCTCTGCAGTGCAGATCTTAAGAGTCCCACAGGATGGAACTGCAGGAGGTGAAGGGACATCAGACTGCTCTAATCCTGTAGCGTAAGGACACCTTAAGACTCAAGGCTGTATAGACGTCCTCCTTCATGAGTTTCCGTGGCTTCTTGGCACATGGGTCCACCTGCAAAGTTTGTTGATTTTGAGTCTCTTGAGGCTGGTCTGCTGGACGGCGCTTGCTTTTGGACACAACATTGACTTTTCGGTTGCTTGTGTTCTGTTGCTTCCGGGCTCTTCCCTTTCACTGTGTCTATAAACCGTTGTGTTACAGTGTATTTCAACACGGCAGGTTGCTCGGATCCCCTGGGCATGAAGTCCGGCCTCATCTCTAACCAGCAGATCACGGCCTCCAGCATGCACAAGACGTGGGGCATTGATGCCTTCACGTGGTATCCACACTATGCCCGGCTGGACAGGACGGGCAAGACCAACGCCTGGGCTGCTCTCAACAACAAACAAGATGAATGGCTTCAGGTGGGTCTTCGCTGGAGTTGAGCGGGGTGACTCGGCGCTGAAAGCTGGAAGAGGAATGGGTGGGCACCGTGGGGGGTACCAAGTGCTCCAGGGTCCGTGGAGTGATGAATCTGCATTGTATTGAGGCTAAAGTTTTCAGGAGCTGTTCAGAGTCCTGCGCGGTACACTGGAGATCAGGTTGAGCACCTTGGATAGCTCTTGTGAGATTAGGAAGAAAACCTGGCATGGATTCTTTGCCCCCTTGATGGTGGAGCCTCTAGCCTCCACTGAGTTAAATGAGTGGATATATTTATTTTGGTTCCAGACATTTTGCTATGAAACTGAATCAAAATCAAGTGACGTGAAACGATGTAAAATAACACAGAATATCAAGATTTACAAAACCGGATGGAACGGCCGTCTTTGGATAGCTGTCCCGTATTGTGATTGCACAGAATTTTTGCCGTCAGCTTGGAGCCGAATGTTACAGATAGCCTGTGATTAGAAGAGAACGTTCCTTAACCATGGAAAGCTATTGATTGTCGCAGCAGGAAGTTTTCTCATCCCCATAGTTTGCATAGTGGCATAAACACAGGCTCTGTTTGCATGTACGATGGCTCGGTGCCGAAGGTATTCCTGAATCATGTCTCTGGAGTACTGGCAGCTCTCAGCTTCCAACAGTGGGTTAGCGAAAAGTGTCAGCAGGAAATTCTTTTGTAGGAAAAAAAAAACGGGATGGTGTTACCTGCCATCTAGCAAGGAAACCTTTCTAAGCAAATGGGACTGTATCTGAGTAGATGTTCCAAACCCACCAAGATGGACAGAGGGTTGGCTTGGATCTGTATGTTTTTGTTTTCTGGATCCCATCAATTTGGGGTTCCCCAGAGGAGCTTGTGAGCATGCATGAATAAACCCAGCACAGTAGGACCCCTGTATCCACAGGATCAGTATCCGCTGATTCACTTATCCATGGTCTGAAAATATTTGAAATACTAAAAGAAAAATCCTAGAAATATATATGTATTTCTAAAGATGAAGTAACTAGAACTGGCTACTAGAGGGAGCCACAGACCATGCTATGTAGTGATATTATACTGTAATAGTGTTAGCTATCCGCATTTTTCAGCATCCGCGAAGGAGCTTGGAACCAATCCTTGTGGTTCTACAGTATTGCCCACCCAAGGACTATCCAGGTGCTTTGGATTATTATACTCATCAGTAGGTAGTGTGTATTTATACCTGATGGGAGCTGTAGTCCATTCCATCTAGAGGGTTCCCATTTAGGGCAAGCTATTTTAACTAGACCCCCATACATATTTCCTTTGGTTATTCTATTTATTTGTTCGTTTAATTTATCATCTTGCCTTTCCACTCAAAAAAGAAGCACTCCAGGAAGCTCACAGACCTGAATCCGCCTCTCTTCCTCTTCTTTCCCCTTCTGACAAACGCCCCCCTTGCTCTCGTTGCCCACAGATCGATCTTCGCCAACAGAAGAAGCTGACCGGGATTATTACCCAGGGGGCTCGCGATTTTGGACACATTCAGTACGTCGGTGCATACAAAGTGGCCTACAGCAATGACGGGAATTCTTGGACCCTTTACAAGGACAGCAGGACGAACAGCACCAAGGTAAACCTGGCCTGATTCTCTCTTTAGGGTTGTAGGGAATAAAACCGAGGGGTCCTCTGTACCTCTAAGGTCTTCTAGACCAACCTCATCCGCACCTGGTTTTTGCTTTGCATATCTTCCTCTGTTGACTTAAATCATTTCCTTTTGGGGTTGCGTGACATGGTTCTTCATTGATTTTGAAAAGTTACCACCACCCCGCTTGCCCCATTCAGTGACGTAATTCTTGTTGCTTGTAGCCATCGTTCAGTCCCCGTTCAAGGGTGGGGATGGCTGGAGGAGCTTTCTCTTCAGTTCCAGGGCTAGGCTTATCTCGCTCAGCCACCCTCTGATTTTCTGAGCTTTCTCTAGGCTTTGGTTGACCAACGCAAGGGCTAGAAACTTGAAAAAGAAAGGAAGCCGAGATTCCTCTTAAGTTTGGCGTCTGGACAACATGCAGTCTGTTTTTTAAAAAATACCTGGAGTAACTGTTTCATATGGAATTTCTTAGGATAATGCATTGGATTGGGGCAGATCCCTAATTCTGAGCTGAATGGACTCAATGCAGTTGAAATGTGTGTGTTTTTAACAGGAATCAAAACAGAAGCAGCTCAAAGGGTTTCAGGCTTTTCCTTTCTATCTTCTTAGAAAAAACGAAACAAAACACAAAAGTTTAAAGATGCCCTGGAGCGGGCGGCCTGAAACGGAGCACTTTTACTCCCCTGTTAAGGTTCTATTGGATGTACATCTGGTGCAACAAAATTAAAACAAAGCTTATTTTAAAATTCCAATCCTTGTCCTGAACAAAAGCCACAGAAATAATACCACCCAGAGTAGACTTGTGTCTAGATGGGCAGGGTATAAAGTGAATGAATGAATGAATGAATGAATGAATGAATGAATGAATGATCCTCCCAGCAGCCCCACAAGGTACGTAGGTTCATCTCTTCCTTGTTCCTGTGGGAAAGGATTCCGTCATCCTTGCAGATGTTTTCCCACCTTTTTGCTCTAACCATGCCGCGTCTGGCCCCACAGATCTTCGAAGGCAACCATGACAACAATTCCCACAAGAAGAACATCTTCGACACCCCCTTCTACGCCCGGTTTCTCCGCATTCTGCCCGAATCCTGGCACAACCGCATCACGCTGCGTGTGGAACTCCTGGGATGTGACGAATAGTCTCGTGTGATGGAGAACCGGCCGGCTCCTCTACCTGCTCTGACTGTCTTGGGTTTGGGGGTGGTTTTTTTGGGGGGGGGATCCCTTTTTTTGGTCACGGCGCTTGCTGTTCCACCCCCTTGCTCCGTTTACTTTACCCCCTGGGCCATACGTATGAATTCCACACCTTGTGAGCATTGGACATTGAGTGTACTAAGGGGCGGGGAGGGGTCCCTATGAATCCCCAGCTTCTGTAGATGGAGCCAGCCTGTTCCGGAAAGAGAGACCTTGTCATTCCTCCCATTATCTTCCTTCCCCTCCTTATCTCTCCCCTTCACTTCATGATGGCGGAGATCTCTTGGCGACAGCGACAGCCACACACACACACACACACACCATGGCCCCTCTTCGCTTCACGATGGCCAAGATCTCTTGGTGACAGCCACACACACACACACACACACACCATGGCCCCCTGGGGGAATTTCCCCATGGATCCCTAACACTGCACTTTAGCAGCCACTTGGTGTGATGGAGTTCTAGCTTTGGTCGGCTCTGCTCCTTTCTTCAAGCGACAGTTTCCCGCGGAGCACGGCCAGGCACTGATTGATAGAGATGTAAAATTTCTTTTTTAAGCATTCATTTCCCCCTCCAGAAAAAAAAATGAAAATCTCTGGAGGAAAATATTATTTTTCTGAAAAAAAATGGAATTTTTTTGTGGAAAAAGCATTCCCCCTCCCCCCCCAAGGAAAAAAATGGAAATTTTCAGAAATTCGACAACTCTAGCACTGAACAAGGAATCTGGTTTAACCGCCAGTCCCATTTCCCTGGGGTCATGGAAGATTTACTTTGGGGAAGGGGTAGGATGGAGGGTTTGGCTCTCTCGGGAAATGCTCAGTTCCCTCCCGGGATTTCCTGGAGGAAGATGTGATTGAAAATGGATACCTGTTTTATAGGCTATTACATAGCATTATCTCTCTCTCTCTCTCTTTTTAAAGCCAGATCCACATTTTGCATGAAGGAAAGCTGCATTTTCCATTTGTATGGGTTTGCAAACCAAGTGGATGCGTCCGGGTTTTGCATAATTTATTCTGTTCCTATGGGAGGCGGAAGGACGGGAGATTTTCCTGAATCTTCGCTCCTCCTCTCCCCTGGATATGTTATGGCTAACCCCCCTGACGGCTCCTGCTGGTTCACCCACCCCTGCCCACACCAATTCAGTTCTTATTTTCACAACCAGAGGGGCTAGAAACTTGCTTTTGCTCTGACTAATGAAAGCTGGGCTTCTGAGGCCACCTTCTCTCAGCACAGCTAAAATCCCCTCGGGCTTCATTTTTGTAAAGATTTCTCTGGGTGCCTGATGTCGGCGCCGGGATGCTGAAGAGGATGAGCTTCCAGTTTTGGAAAATCGGCTCAGCCCTTGTTGCGGCTCAGGAGTTTCCCCCCTGCAATCTTTTTTATAAGTGAAAAAAAAGCCATTTTGTTTGGAAAAGCAATAGCAGCAATACCATTTTGCTCCCTTGATCTCCCAGATCTCTTTAAGATCTCTATACTGGCTGGTTGGCGCCATGGCTGGCAGAGCCACTGTGGAGAAGCTGGACTTCACGATGACCAGTTGTGGAGACGAAGGAAGGACAGCTTTTAAAACAAAAAGGCCGGTCAAGATTTTACTCCGTAATCGATGAAATGCATTCCTTGATCATGAAATGTATTCATCGATTTCAGAGTCCCTTGTAGCATCAGATGGCAGCTAATTGACTAGGTACTGGTTGTGTGCATGCATGTCAGTCACATGACCATGCATGCAGCTGGCACCTAGTTAATAAGCTGCAATTGGCTGCCACAATTTACACCCATCTACTTACACGGGAGTAGAATCCCTGCAGGATTCTGGCCACTGTGGAATGTCTCTCTGGGAGGAGTCCGTGTGTGTATGTGTGTGTGGAGAGTGCAGGGTAGACCCATGCGCGCGCACACATAGGGTTCTCCGTAAAACAAACCTTACATGAGGGGCTTTAGTCGGGGAGGATGGGGTGGCGCTCCTGTCTTGGATCTGGGAGAAATCAACCCTGGGCAAAGGAACAAAAAGCCATAAGATCGCCTGATGGTGGTTTCTGTGGCTTCCATGCAAGAAGCAGAGCTAAGCCAAGAGTTGCAGTATTAAAACAATTTTGGAAAATGCTTGGGTTTGTGGTGTCTCTTTTATTGTGTGGAAGCTCAGACAACCCATGGAGGAGAAAGAAACAAGACCGGGATGGGAAACATGAGATGCTGTTCTTCGTATATGCCATCTCCGAATTATAGCGTGAATGAGCAATCTCCAAAATGTCGTATCTCCAGTTGTCCTCCTTAGTTCCTGCAGACTCAAGCCTGTGGGGAGTCAAATCCATCTTGTATTGGGTCTCCCTCTTTTCCTGTTGCCTTCAGCTTTTCCTAGCATTATTGTCTTCTTTAGAGAATCCCGCCTTCTCAGGAGGTGCCCAAAGTAGGACTGCCTCAGTTTCAACCTTTTTGTCTCCAGAGATAATTCAGCCTTGCCTTGTACTAAGGAAGACCCACTTGTTTTTCTGGCAGTCCAGGGGATCCCGAAAGCTCTCGTCCAGCACTGCATTTCAAACGAATCAATTACCCCTCCACCCATCAGCTTGATAGGAACATGAGGTGGGTTCTTCCAATTCAAGAAGATAATTCACAAGAGACCCCCATGGAAGTGGGTGGCGACTCTGGCAAACACCCATAGAAGTCCCAAACTTTTCGTGGCAAGAGATGCTTGTGAAATTTGGACTTGGGAGCGCAAAATTAGCATCTCCAGTTGGTAATGAAGTTGCTGAATTAAAAAAAATATGATTTTAAATAAGCCAAAACAGCCAGTAACCACTTGGAAAAGTCAGGAAACGTGGTCCTGATGATTCACCAGTCGTGTTACTAGTGACTCGCCATGAAAGCAAGAAGTTTTTTAATTGTTGGGTTTTTTAAAAAAATTATGGGGACTTTATTTAAATTTTAAGAAATAATCACGCAGAGTCTGCTCCAGGTTAAGACTGATCGCATTTGAAACCAGCCGCAGATTGACAAGTTCCCAGAGACCCTGGTTGAACACCCTGCTGTGAATTGTAGCCATAGTTGAGGAGAGAGGTAGGAGCAGCGAGCCAAGAATGGAAAGGATTTGTGTATGAAGGGAATGAGATTGGAGGGAATCCACAAACTCTTTGAGCCTGGCTAAGGAGATGGGTTCTGTTCTGTCTGTGCCAGCCCAGCGTGTTGTATCAAGCAACTTGGCAGACCGGCTGTCGATCTTCTCATTTTTCCGCCCTGGAGGTGTTTGCGCTGCAACGCGATGGGTTTGGATCAGGACCCCTGTGAAGCAAGTGGTCCTAAGCCACAGAGGGCCACAAAGACTGGCCGCAGGATGATCCAGTGATAAAACTGGCTCACACAAATTTGATCCAGGTCTGGTTCTTCCCCTTCTACTTTCTCCACTATTAAGGAAGCAGATAAGCTCCTGGGGGGCAGTAGGGGGGAGATGCAGGATCTCAAGGCATCTGGTCAGCTTGTTTATACCATCCCCTCCTTTCCATCCTCTTTGACACTTCCCTGAAGGTCTGTTTTCCATCCCTAACCTCTCAGCCATCTCATCCTTTTGTCTCCCAGCGTCCAGCCTGGTTTGTAATTTTATCCAAAGCAGCAAAACCTTGTGGGATCTGAATGACCCCCAAGGTTTATTTGCGAATGGCCAAACTGGAAGGGACCCCATAGATCATCAAGTTGCCATCTCATCCTTTTGTCTCTCAGTGTCCAGGCTGGTTTGTAATTTTATACAACACAGCAAAACCTTGTGGAATCTGAATGGCCCCAAGGTTTATTTGCGAAATGGCCAAACTAGAAGGGACCCCATGGGCCATCAAGTCCTGCTTTTGTTAAGGAGGCCCTGTGGGGGAATCGAACTCCCGGCAAGTCCTGCTTTTCTTAAGGAGGCCCAGTGGGGGAATCGAACTCCCAGCCCCTGGCTTTGCAACCAGAGGCCTAAACCATTGAGCTACCTAGAGTTTTATTTCATATCAGCAACCTGGCACTGGTTTTTTTTGTAACAGATTGCAGCGTTCTCATTCCGATGCATCCCACCCAGTGGAAGAAGTGGGCAATAAAACCTCATAAAACTGCTTTTCTTAAGGAGGCCCAGTGGGGGAATCGAACTCCCAGCCCCTGGCTTTGCAACCAGAGGCCTAAACCATTGAGCTACCTAGAGTTTTATTTCATATCAGCAACCTGGCACTGGTTTTTTTTGTAACAGATTGCAGCGTTCTCATTCCGATGCATCCCACCCAGTGGAAGAAGTGGGCAATAAAACCTCATAAAACTTGCTAGTTTTTCAGATGATGCAGAACTCTTTCTCATTCTAGCTTTCTGGCTGCGTTCACCTCCTACCATACCAGGACAGCTCAGCCATTGCACACTTCAAGTAATGCCCGTAAATCCTCTTCTCTCTTCCCCCCACACTTTTTTTTGTAGTAAGGAGGTGATTAAGTTGGATTTTAGAAGTTAATAAACCAATACAGTGGTGCTTCGCTTGACGAGGATAGGTAATTCAATCCGTTCAAATCGCTGTTAAGCAAAATCCTCGTCAAGCGAAATGAAAAAGCCCATTGAAATGCATTGAAAACTGGTTCAATGCGTTCCAATGGGTGAAATACCTCAGCGTCCAGCGAAGATCCTCCATAGGGCAGCCATTTTCTGGCGCCTGTAATGCGAGGAATCTGTCCTAAAGCACAGCGGGGAGCCATTTTGAAACCAGATGATCAGCTGTTTTTGATCGTCATTAAGTGAAAAATCGGTTCCCAAAGCAGGGAACCGATCAATGTTAAGTGAAAAAAACCCATTCAGTCATCGTCTAGCGATCACAAAAAAGTAATCATCAAGAGATTTCCTCGTCTAACGAAGTAATCGTCAAACGAGGCACCACTGTACTTTCCAACCTGGGGTTCCCCAAGTGTTCTTGGACTACAACTCCCAGAAATCCTCGCCAGCACAGTGAGTGATGAAGGCTTCTGTGAGTTTTAGTCCAAGTGAATTCTAAATGTTGGGTCCCCTTTTCAAGGTTTTCCAGGTAGAGACTACTCAAAGGTGTATTACCATTCTCTTCCTCTAGGGGACACCCTGGGACTGTGCAGTTGGCCCACGGCTACCCAGGCTGGCTCTTCTCTACCAAGAGGCACTTTGGGGAATCAAATTCTCAATCCTGGCTGCACCGTCAGATATTTAACACACTGATCTATCCAGCCAGCTAAAAAAATGGTGATACTATCATACATGTTTGGTATAGCAACATTTTTCTAGTTACTTTCAAAGATAACATTTAAAGGATATTATTACAGGTAGTTTAAGCAGAGGTGTGTGTC